AAAGTCTCGGCAGTGTCTTCAGGTTTGAAAAGCCAGCAACAATTTCTGGAATGATAGAACTCCAATTTCCTTATTTGGCTCTTGGAAAAGTCATGACATCCTTCGTTTCTTAGACAAATTGGGATGTTTGGAAGATGGTATGCTATGTTCTTTCTTGCCTGCCTTCCTCAGACCCATGACCTTTTCTGATTTATTGGGATATCCCTTAGATTCACTAACCAAAGACTGACTGGAAGATGATGAGTCCTCAATTGCTCTTGGGCTGTTTTAGATTTGTAGCTGTGATCATGGGCTGCCTGCAAAAATTTTCAAACCGTTTTTTCTTCTTCCTTTTGTTTCGTCCTTCCTTCTCACCCCCCCTTCCCCGCTTTCCTTCTCCCCTACTCCATAGCATAAATAACACACATTTCTTAGTTTCAGAGCTTGATTCCACTCCTCACTTGCAAAGAACGTAGCCTCTCAGATTCCTAGTCTCCAAGCCAAAGATAAAAAGAAGTCCTGTGGTTGTCAAGAGAATCCAATGAGTGAAGCTGTGCAAACCACTTTGCAAACCAGGAAATCTTCATCCCGCAGGAACTTGGGCTGCTAATGTCTACCCAAGGTTGCTCTTTATTTAGAAATGAAGGATTTCCTACTGCCGCTCTTAGCCATTTGGAAAATCTTCTCTACCTGAGCCACCTTGCCCAGAAGCCACACCTCTTTCCAATGTGACACATATTCAGTTAGTCAGTAGGCACCTGGCCTTAGCAATTTGAACCCTGCTGGAACACATCTGTGGCTGGTGCTTAGTGGTGGAGGATGCTGCTTTCCCTCCACCAACCAGAGGCCTCCCTCACCAGAAGTATTGGTACTAGGCTGGGAAAGATATTTAGGACTCCCGGGAGAGGAGTTCTCAGTTGAGCCTTTCTCCTGCTGTGGGCAATGGCCACCGGGGAAGGAGACAGGTTAGCACATTGGTTCTGCACATTCTCAATCCTTTGTCTGATTTACGCTGGACAGCTCTGGATGACTTCCTTCTTGAAGAGGAAAGTCCACAAAGCTTCATAGTCCTGGGCTTGAGCCCAGGGTTCCTCATAGTTATCTCATGCATTTCAGTTTCCTTGCTTTCTGGCTAAGAAACCACAGAAAGTTATTTTTTAATCTTCCAAATTGATTCAAAAGCTCCCCTGAAATGAATCCTCCTCCCTAGCTAAGTAGCCAGCAACACTAGAACCCAAAGACTTCCCAGGCCCTGAGAAACTGCCTGTCTGGTCCAGCTGCTGGAGGAGAAGGAGCTCAGTGACAAGGTTTAGCCTGGAGAGGGGCCTCGCCCTGTGGGTGACTCTTGCGTGTTTTACATGTTCCTCTCAGCAATGTCCCCTCCTCCTACTCACCCTTCAGGTTTCAGCTTGGGGGTTTCAAAAGGAATCCTTCCTGAGCTTTGAGCTCAGGGGCCTGTGAAGATGCGCCCTGTGAGCTCTGAAGGGGTGATATGTGGAGAGTTCCTACAGAAGTGAGGAAATCTTCATCCTCTCTTTTCTTAGGGAACAAGAAAGACTGCAACTTGGAACATTCTGAACTTCTAAAAGGGCACCTTGGGTGATGGGGGAGGGAACCTTCAGAGAAGGCTCTTGAGTTGGGCAGGATAGAGTGTGGGGTGGGTTAGGGAAAGGCCAGTCAGTTCCTATTAGTTTGTTTACACACCATGACAGAGGCTCTATGTTCAGAGTGCCTAGTTTTCCCAGTGAAGCCAAGAATCCAAGTGCTTTTATATTTATTGTTTTAAATGAAATATGATTTAAAAATATTGCCTATAAATTCAAAAATTTTAACAACCACCAAGGGCCAAACCTAGAATATCTGGGTACAAGGTATGTGACTACCCATTTGTGGCCTCTGATTCCTAGGAGAAACCTCTGTTTCCTTGGCTGCCCTTTGGTCCTGCATAGCTACAGGGGTAGAACCACTTCCAACATCTCCTATAAAGGCAATATTCATTTGTGCACTCTTCAGTATCCACTGACACTGTTATGATTCATCCACAATAGGAATGCGAAGCTCAGAAGGGCTATCTGCATACCTCACAGGCAAGGGGAAGATTCACGATCAGAACCCTCATGTGTCTGCTTGCAAAATCAGGGCTGCTTTTTGCATATGGTCGCTGGAGTCTCTCTTAAGTGCGATGGGAATAAAGGGTGCATGCTGTCCCAGCCATTTGCCTGTCCTCTTTGGAGCCTCTTGGGGAGGGAGGCTGAGCAGGTTGTGGCTCACTTTCCCCTTGTCTTGTGGGTCCCTCTCTTTGGCGGCAGAGGCATGGTATTCTGCCCTGGTTTCCAGGAAGCCCATCTAACCAGTGTGCAAGCTCCTTGAGCTTGGTCCTGCACAGCTTTATCACAGAGCTTCAGGGAGTTCCCTCCGAGGACATGCTTACTGAAGGGTGGCGAAATACAGCTGAGTTAGATGTCACTCACCAGCCCACATCAGCCCATGTACCTTATACCCTGCTTAGTCTGGCTGTCAATCTGGGGATTACTTGAGACACTCGTCCCCTAGAGAGACCATAAACCTCTGCTTCTATTCTCTAATCACTGTCACCACCTCTCTGGTAATTTGTATCCAGTATTTAGAAGGGTCTCAAAATATGCATATTGAAGTCAATAAGCTACTTAGCTCCTATGGTTTTATTTTGAATTCACATTCTTGTTTTTCAGCCACGACACACAGAAGACCAAGCCCTTTTCTTTTTCATTTTGGAAATTAAAATTTTTTTTAATTTATTACAATTTATTCATTTTGTATCCCAGTTGTAGTCCCTCCCTTGTCCTCTCCCAATCCTGCCCTCCCTCCCTCTTCTCCTTCCATACCCCTCCCCAAGTCCACTGATAGGGAAGGTCCTCTTCCCCTTCCATCTGACCCTAGCCTATCAAGGCTGGCTACATTGTCTTCCTCTGTGGCCTGATAAGGCTACCCCACACCCTCAGGAGAAGGTGATCAAAGAGCCAGCCACTGAGTTGATGTCAGAGACAGTCCCTGTTCCCCTAACTAGGGAACCAACTTGAAAACTGAGCTCCTATGGGCTACATCTGTGCAGGGGCTCTAGGAGGACCTGATAATAATTGTGCATATTTTGCCCAAGAAGAAAACAACTGAAACCCGAGGTTTGATCCCTGTGTCAGCCTGGAGGAGAGGGTACCTTTTTACTTCCAGTTGAGGAAGAGAAGTTTTCTTTAGTTGTTCTAATTGCTCATAATTTACCTGAAAGTATTGTATGCATTACCTCTAGTCCCAGCACACTGCCTGGCACATGGAAGATGCTTAATGCAGCTGTTGCCTGAGTTTATTCACCTTGGCAAGCTTCTGCTGAGGGTCTACCATGCACAAGATTTCTCCGTGGTTGAGATGTCCAGGCATGTGGAAAAGATCAGTGGGCAGGACCTCAGCATTGTGCCCACTCAGTTACCTAAAGTTAACTCCCCAATGAGCGAGCTGGCTTCCCTTAATGTCCTCAATATTTTATTATAGTTTCATCCTAGACACACCCTGGAAACATGTTTCCCTGGGACAGTGGCCAAACCTTTCAAGGCCAAGGCCTTATACACAACTGGAGTCCAGGCGGATAAGCACAGGGCAAAGTCACACCCAGATGGAGATGAGAGGATGAATCACTCACCGTGGCCAGAACCGAACCTTGGCTGCGGCTCAGACCTGGCTGCACAGAGCCAAGGTCCTAACCCTTTCTACTCTTGTTCTGAATGCTCACACTGCCTAGAGAGAGCCTGATGTGGGTGGAAAACCAATAGAGGCCAGTAGAAAGAAGCTCTATTTGGTCCCCTTTGGTGAGAAGGGATGGGCTCAGGAACTAGCAGTGGCAGAGGGAGGAGGGACCCCGCAGATAAGACAGTAGAGATCTGTAGCCTGCCCGGGGAGCCAGGGTGATGGGAGCAGTGGGCCCCAGAGTTACACAGTGTTTAGCTCCAGCACCTTTTGATCCCTGGGCTGGAAATTTCCTCATTAGGGAGCCATCAGCCTCACTCATGTCGCTTCCAGGAAAGATAATTGCCCCCTATGCCAGATCCCTCAAACTCCTCCACATGGAGCACCATATGGTTGGCATTCCGTATTAGAGTCTCATCTTTTTCTCCCTAAACGTTTTGAGGAGATGTGATATTCGGGAAGCAGTGGCAGCTTCACTTTGTCATTCTGCACACATACTCTCTGTTGTGCTACCTGGGGCTCCTCATAAACTTTTCTCTTCATGCAGAATGCCGTCACCCATATATTCATAACCCTCAATCCAAGGCCCGGTTCCGAGGTCGTTTCCCCATAAAGCTATCCCAGAGTTCCCTGAGATTAAAGTTCTCCCTCTGTGGCCACCCACAGCTCTTTATGTTCTGGAACATGTTTATGGAACATATGCTCTGCTTATGTTCCATCAGGGGAGTCTGTTGTGCTACTGTCTTGTTTTCATTAGGAAATAACTGTTACTCCAGGAGAGGTCTAAGCTTGATCTCTGTCTATGCACACAAGGAAACCGGTACAGTGCATTCAGCAGGTACTCAATACATGCTGAGCATTTCTTTTTTTTAATTTAATTTTTTTAAATTTATTTATTTTTTATATTAATCACAGGTTATTTACTTTGTATCTCAGCCGTAGCCCCCTCCCTCAGTCTCTCCCAATCCCACCCTCCCTCCCTCATCTTCTTGTTGCCCCTTACCAAGTCCACTAATAGGGGAGGACCTCCTCCCCTTCCATCTGAGCCTAGCTTATCAAGTCCATGCTGAGCATTTCTTTACACTAATATTAATTAAGAACAAATTTTATCTAGATATATAGTTAATGCAAATCTCATTTCTATGATACATATGTGGGTGGCTATAGAAGGTCTGTGATCAGGGACTGCAAAAAGGGGGGACTACCTTTCCTTCTGTATCAAAATGGCTCATTTCATAGGTAGAAATAACACCAGTACAGATGGTACCTTCAACAGTGGGGCAATAGCAATGAAAACACGATCATACCTTAATGTTGTCCTCTGGCCAAGAGTTCAGCATTGTTGCAAGGTGGCCCTTGTCATGAATGGTGATAAACAGCCCACTAGGAAAAATAAACATGTCACATAAAGAAACCAGGCAGTCAATGTAGAAACAGAACAAAGACCATGAGCTCTTTTGCCTTAGACCCAAAGAAGATGAATTTTGTCTCAAAGCTCTGGAGTGTTCTGGTGTCTTTCCTTCAGTTGCTTGTCTTCATAGGACTAGGAGTACAATGGGTCAAGGGCATGTCCACATGGAACCATCTACTCTAGAGGCTGCATCTTCTTTTCTTTCTAGATCTGTACCAGAATCCCCTCACTCACTAGCCTCACAGCTGCCTTGTCAACTATGTGGGTCTGCTCTCCAGGTACTTACTCCAGAGCAAGACCACATGGCCATGGTCAGAACATGGACACATGGGTTGGGAAGGATAGACACATATGCACCAGGCCCCTGAGGTAGGAGATGTAGCTGGCAACTGGAAAACGGGGTGGGTGCTTATCATGTGACGCTTTTCTCTGCAGCACAGGAGTCTAACAATACCAAATTCAAACTTAGCCTTCCAGTCTACGAAGAGGGTGTTATTGTAAATGTAATATAATGGAACATAGTCTACTTAATAGCTTATTGCCTGATTTAGAATGTTTAGACTTAAAGAGTGCAGATATGAATCTTCTGCTTTAGGATTAGGGATAAAAGAATATGTGGGATTTGGGGGATCCGTTGTCTCTCTTTCTCACTCTAGTAGGTAACACATAAAACTTATATGCTCAAGTCTTTATCACCATAAAAGTGAAACAAAACCCCTGGCTTCTGGTAGTAACACAGAATAACCCTTCTTCAGACCATTTTTATAAAATCACTCATTTATGTTTCTGATACGCTATGAAATATGTGTTTTTGGTTTACAGCAATAGAGCTGGGCCAAATGGTGGCACAACCTGGAGGAGCATCTGCTTTATGAAAGCAAGGAACTATTCTTTGAGATATGCAGCTTTGTAGTTTATTTTGCCTGAGCGCAGCTCAATCTTCAAACAGCTTGAAGCAACAGAAACTCACACACTTACAGGTTGAGGTACCTGAGAACGAAGTTGGAGTTAGAAAGAGCAACTGAGCAGTGAAGGGAGAAAATCTGAAAGGGAAAAAAATCTCAAAGAGAAGGGACTCTTAAGTGTGCATAAAAATGCTCAGGCATTGATTGGAAATGAATACACAGGGTCACTGACAAAATTAGTTTCAGCAAGAAGCCCAAAGAACTGAGCAGAGACCTCAGTTCTTGCTGATTTGGGCAGGTGGAGCTTAGAATTTGAGTTCAGTTTAATTAACTCTCTGAGGACAAAACAACAAACCATGTTTTAGAGAAACAAAATATAATCCAGCATCTATAGAAGTCAGGGTACAAGAGATATTCGTTACAATGACCTGCTTATTTCGTTTATGTTTGAATTTTCAAAACAAAATAAGTATCATACTTGCATGTGAAAGTCAGAGATTGAAACCATGGATTTTCCACCTTATTTTTTTAAAATGAGTTTTAAGTTAGCCTGGGTATAACTCCATTTTGAAATAGAGAGCCATCTTGACTGGGAGCTGAACTCAGGTACCAGGAAATATCACAGAATGTGCACTTGGCAGAAAACAAGGTTAACTCTCCTAGCAACAGCCTCCAGGAAATATCCCAGAATAAATACTTCATAGAAAATAGAGACAATCTCCCTGGCAATAATCAATGAGAATCGGTTGGGAATCGGCTGGGAAAATTCTCCCCAATGTTTCAGATATAGTTTAGAAGAATAGGAATTGTGATCATATGCCTTAGGAAATTTTGATTATGTGCCTGAGAGAAGGTCACCTCGCCCCTCTAACTTTTACCTAATCCTGTAACGTCAAGGCTTGTGCCCTCCTGCTTGCTGTCATGGAAACATGGGTCCCTCTGCTTGTTGTCATGGAAACCCCCTGCTCACAGTCTTTCCCTTTAAAAACCCTGTTTACTCAGAGCTTGAGGTCCCACTTCTCTACTGCTGCATCAGTGAGACTTGGGTCCCGAGTTCGATCGCTCTCGTAATAAAGCTTTCTTGCTATTGCATCGAGTCGTCTCCTGGTGGTCTCTGAGGGTCCTGTGAACCTGGCATTATAAAAACAGTCTTTGGTCAGACTGTGTGACCAGCAAGTCCCAGAGCTACCCTTATTTTTGCCTCCCTAGTGCTAGGATGACAGCTGTTCATTGCTGCCCTCAGCATTTTTTAAATTTAAGTGCTGGGTATTGAATTGAAGTCCTTGCATTTGCATGGAAAGTGCTTTTCCCATGGAGCTATCTCTCCATCCTTCGCAAAGTATCCCAAATGTCAATCTCTTATGGGGACTATTCTTTTTCCTCTCTCTTATCACGAAAAACAACCAACCAACCAACCAAACCAAACCAAACCAAACCAAAATAAGCCAAAGCAAAAAGTCCAACCTCTCTGCAGAAGCTGCCTTCATTTTATTCCTTCCATTGATTCTCTGCACATAGTAGTGTGTCTTTTATTAGCATTGTATTACCAAACTTCCAATGACCTTCACCTCTTTGAATGCAATGAACACTGTTCAGCCCTCATCTCCTCTGGTTTCTCAATTAAAAAGAAGTATATGTTTTATGTGTATATGTGTTTTGTGTGCATGTGTTTATATGGTCCACGTGTGTGCAGTGCCCCTGGAGGCCAGAAGAGGGTGCAGGATTTTCTGGAGCTGAAGGTACATTTTTGAGTTGTCTGATCAAGGTGCTGGGGATTGAACTCTAGCCTTCTGCAAAAGCAGCAAGTGCTCTCAATGGCTGAGCTGTTTCTCCAGTTCCTCTCTGGCTTCTTGATAGAATCTGATACTTTATTATCCTCCCCTACCCCCAAATGTTTGCTTCTGTGAGTCACCTTTCTTTGAGTTCTCCTCCTCTGACTGCTCTTACTTACTTTTATGCTGGTCGCCAGCCATATTTGTGATAACATTCCTCAAATATTTCTGTACTTTCAGTCTTCCTCTATGGGATCTCATCAATGCCAGAGGCATTTGGACACTGACTTTCAAATATCTGAAGACTAGAATTTCTCATTTTGGGTGCTAGTGTCATTTTCAGTTAGAGAATTCTTAGCTCTGTGGGTTGAGGTTGCCTGAGCCTTGCAGGATTTTTGGCAGCATCCCTCACTTCTACCCTATATGCCAGTAGTACCTCATAATTTGCCATAACACCACCACCACCACCACCACAATAATAAATGTCTCCAGTTATTAGAAAATATACCCAGAGGAGACAAAAATCAACACACACTTCAAAGGAATTGCTCTAGACCTCTGTATTAACTGCCTGCCTGACACACGACAAAGGCACTCAAACTTACCTGTCTAAGACCAAATTTATGATCTAGCCTTTCACCACTGCGACCCAAAGACAAGATAAAACAGAGACTCATTCCCTTCATTCTCTAGCTGACAGCCACAGTGGGTTCCTCTCCAGACTTCATGCTTCCCTGTACCTCCCAGTGTTCAGGCTTTTCCTTCTGCTCAATACCCTGTGCTTCATGAAGTTAATTCACCGTCATTATCCTGATAATTTTCAAATCAGGATAGAAGGCTCTTGCTGTGAGCTTCAAGTCCCTTACCCTTGCACGCACAGACATATTTACTGTGTGGCTCCTTGGCTAACACTCCCTCGTTAGAATGTGAGCATCACAAAGTCACGGTCTGCATCTATTTTGAGATTGTTCAGCACCATCTCTTCCTGTTTAGTTCTTAATACATGCTGAGTATTTTATCTTTGAACAAATGGAGACGTGAATCAGTAGGTGATAAAGATGTTCACGTGACTAAGGAGAAAATTGTTAAATAGAATTAGGTGAGAGTTGGCACAGAGGCAATGTGTGTGTGTGCACTGAATAGATCCTGTGAACTGGATGACAGTGGGTAGTGCTGGTCAATGCATAGAGGATGGTGGATGGGCCAAGGAAAAGAAACACACTGAAGATTTGGGGTGCATGGTTCTATTTTGAAGGGTGTGAGTGTAAGCATCTGAATGAACTCATTCGTAAAGCTTGATGGCTTCCAGGTGAAGAGTACTAGAACATACCACCCTGAATTATGCCTCCTCCACCTAGAGACTATTTTGAGTGATTTCGTTGTGAACTGAAGTTTTCTGGAAAGAAAAAAAAAAAGAGCCAGACCTGTGTTCTACAAGGCTGATTAAAACTGTGATTATGGGGGTTTGGAATGTTGCCAGATTATCTTCTGCTATCTTCAGCTCTCTGTGTCTGACCTAACATCTTTTGATTTTTTCAGGAAGTTTTGGAATGTATTAATAGAACTCTTATCCTATGAAAAAGCTAAGAATGCTATCTGATAACATCTGAAACCTGTATCAGAGTAAAACATTTTTTTTCTGTGCTATAACCTACCTTCCTGATGTTCCTGCCAATGTATTTGAAGAATGCCTTGATTTATAATTTCTCTTTGTTCTGTGACTATAAAAATTTCCTGCAGCTGTTACTATATTGCAGTATGGTGCTTGAGGAGATGTGAATCCATGCTCCTGGGCCATGGTCTTTCAACTGTGGTTCCAGGATAAAGTATGTCTTATCATACTTTTGTGGTTCAAGCTGTGTTTTGCATGGACAGACCCAGAATGAAGGCAGAAATTTTTATCTGTTTGTTTATCTATCTACCTGTCTGTCTGTCTGTCTATCTATCTACCTATCTATCTGAGAAAGGGAGTCACTATGTAGCCTTGGCTGGCCAGGAATTCACTATGTGGAACACACTGGCCTTGACTCACAGAGAAACACCTACCTCTGTCTCCTGAGTGCTGGCATTAAAGGTGGTGGGTGCTACATCAGGCTCAGGTTTTCTTTTGTAATGAAGATTTACATTTATTTAACAATTTCTATTTGTTTCAATGCATCCCCTCCTTTTTTTCTAACAGCAAGAGAACTCCTATCAGCACAACAAAGTTTCCTGAGTAACTTTTATACATCTCATTTGCTTACTTCCCTTGTGGACATCTCATAATCTCTTTCCTTTAGGAGCCCCTTGCCCCCT